TGGTTCACCGTTCACATTCTAATATTGTACTCCATTTTCCAAATCTATATATATATATATATATATATATATAATGTAAAAAAATTTACCATCTAATTATATTTTGTATTATCGTTTAAATTCGAAAAAAAAAAAGGCATCTACTCCACACGTATTGTTTGAAAAACTCCCAGCGAGTCATGTTTTGCATTTGTAAATCTTGCAAACAAATGTTGAACATATATTAGTTTTTTTTTTTTTAACCAATTGAAACGTACATTAGTTTTTTATTTTTCAATAAACGTATATTAGTTGATTACCTAAAACTTTGGTTAACTAATGTGATTATTTTTAGTACCCTATAACAGTTAGTTACGTGCTAGGTTCATATTAGTTAATCAGATCTTTAACTACTCCAAAGTTTTAGTCAAAATTTTGAAATTCTCTATCCTTTCGAAGGGAGATTAACTGGAAAAAAAAAACAGACCAGAAATTACATTTAAAATAGTTCATAATACCAAAAGAAAAAATTGTTCTTTAAATTTATTTTTGAAGTTGGAAGAGACAAGGAAATTATTATGCATCTATTATGCAGGCCGTGGAACAATCACATAATTATTCAGAATGGCGAAGGTCCAAATATATCCATTTCTTTCGAAAATGGTCTAAAAATACTACTATTATACTATTGGGTTATCTATATCCCTGCAGTCATACTTTGGGTTCAAATATACCCCTCATTTAAACGGAGGGACACGTGTCATTATCATGTTGACCAATTCTAAATATCTCATAATTAAATAAAAATACTCATTACCCATACCCGAAAAGTAATTTTCTAAAACAATTATTTTTTGTAAAAATGGAAAAAACTAAATTATTTTTTAGTAAAAACTGAAAAATCAAAAATATTTTTTTTCCAGTTTTTACAAAAGATCTGCTTTAAAAAAACTGAAAAATATTTTCTAAAATAATGTTTTTGTAAAAACTGGAAAAAAAACTAAAATTGCTTTAGAAAATTATTTTTCGGGTATGGGTAATGAGTCTTTTAATTAATTAAGAGATATTTAGAATTGGCCAACAAGACGATGACACGTGTCCATCCGTTTAAATGAGGGGTATATTTGAACCCAAAGTATGACTGTAGGGGTATAGATAACACAATAATATAATGAGGGGTATTCTTAGATTTTTCGAAAGTATAGGTGTATATTTGGACATTTGCCGTATTCAGAACATGCCAATTTTCTGGAGTAATTTGCGTTTTACTATGCGAGTCTCAAAACTAATATGCGAGGTAAATATTTTCTTTTCGTTATTTTCTTTCCTTGCTGTAATTTAGAGTTTGTATTAAACTAGGAAACTAGGATCGCTTATAATCTTTTTCATATATGTTAAGGTATATAGGGTTGTTAACTTGTATAATATAAAATTTGATACAATCAAATCTCTATACAAGAACATCCTTTTTTTTTGTATTGTTTCTCTTTTATAGTAAATAGATATTATACAACAATAACAACATTTGACGTTTAAATAATTTTTAGTCGTTATAGACAAAAATTATCCAAATACAAAATTACTTTTTTTTAATGTTACATATAAAATATAAGAAATTTGTTTAAATTTAAAATATGAAAAGATATGCATATTTCACTAATTAAATATTTTAAAAAGTTATAATTAATAAATCTATAACTAAAAGTACAAAAATTTAATCTCTAAGGCACACATTTTAAAACTACTAGAAATTAAATTCTTTCAAGATTGATGAAAGAACTTTGTAATTGTAGCTTGTTCTGTATATTCCATTATCTTACTAGCAATATAACGCTTGAATTGGCGAAGATTTGTGTCCAAACTTTCAGCAAAAAGGGGTATTCAACAGCTTTCCCTTGAAGGCGATCTTGTAACGACCCGGCCAGTCGTTTTAAAAGTGTAGCCTCGTTCCCCCATTTACAGTTCATTATATACTTTATAACTGTTATGTGACTTGCCGGGTAGTCGGTTCGGGTCCGGAGAGATTTCGAAATAAATTGAGACACTTAGTCTCAAGGTTGAAAGCTTAAGTTGAAAAGGTTGACCGGATATTGACTTATATTGATTCCAATAGCTCCGTATGGTTATTTTGGACTTAGGAGCGTGTCTAGAAAATTATTTGAAAGTCCGTTGTAACGACCCGACCGGTCCTTTTTAGCTCTAGCGCGTCGTTCAGCGGGTTGAGGCCCTGAGCAACTTCACTTGAGGTATTATGCCTTGTACACGTGGTAAGCATTTAAGTTCGGGAAGTTCGGAGTTGATTTAGAAAGAAAATTCTAATTTCGAAAGCTTTAAGTTGGGAAAATTAACTAAAGGGTGATTTTTTTTGAGTAAACAACCTTAGAATCGAGATTTGAAGGTTCCAACAGGTTCGTATAATGATTTTAGACTTGGACGTATGTCCGGATCGGGTTTTGGATGAACCTGGAACGTTTCAGCGCCTATTGTGGAAGTTGATATTTTGGAAGGATTTCATAAATTTGGGTTGAAGTGCATTTCAATGTTATCGATGTCCGTTTGGGATTCCGAGACTGGGAATAGCTCCGTATGGCGATTTTGATATTGGGAGCTTATCCGGAAGTGGATTCGGAGGTCCGTAGGCCATTTTGGGGTCATTTGGCGAAAGTTAGAAATTTGAAGTTTTTGAGAAGTTTGACCGGAGGTGGACTTTTTGGTATAGGGATTGGATTCTGATTCCGGAAGTTGGAGTAGGTCCGTAATATCGAATGTGACTTGTGTGCAAAATTTGAGGTCAATCAGACGTGATTTGATAGGTTTCGGCATCGATTGTAGAAGTTAAAGTTTCAAAGTTCACTAAGTTTGAATTGGAGGGTGATTCGTATTTTTAGCGTTGTTTGATGTGATTTAAAGGCTCGTCTAAGTTCATGATGTGTTTTGGGATGTGTTGGTATATTTGGTTGAGGTCCCGAGGGCCTCGGGTGGATTCCATATGGTTAACGGATCGAGTTTGGACTTGGATGAAATGCTGAGGCAGCTGATATCTGGTGCAATCGCACCTGCGGGAAAGGGCCCGCAAATGTGAGCCACGAGTCGCAGGCGCGAAGGAGAGGAAGCTGGTTAGATACCACAGGTGCAGAACATTAGGGCGCACTTGCGAAGGCGCTGGTGCGAAGTTGGCAACGCATGAGCGGTCGATAGGCGTAGGTGCGAAGTTGGCAACGCATGAGCGGCCGATGGACACAGGTGCGGCGCATGCACCACAAAAGCGGTCTCGCAAAAGCGAGCCGCTGATCGCAGAAGCGGACAAGCCGGCTAAGGGGAAATCGCATCTGCGAGATTATTTCTGCAGATGCGGAGCCACAGACGCGGTTGGCTAGCCGCATAAGCGAAAATCGTGGTTGGGCAGAATGTTTTAAAAGCTGGGTTTGGGTTCATTTCACCCATTTTTTCACACGGCTTAGGGCGATTTTTGGAGCTCTTCAAGGGAGTATTATCACCATCATGTGCAAGGTAAGTGATTCCCACTTATTGCAAGTTAAGTATTTGGTTTACATATGGATTTAGACTTGAAATTTGTAGCAATTTGGGATTTTTGGTAAAAAACCTAGAAATGGATATTTTTGGATTTTGACCACGAAATTGGATATGGAATTTAGAATAAATTGTATATTTGAGTTCATGGTGATATGGGTAAGGTTTATCTTCGAAATTTTTTGGAATTCGGGCACGTGGACCTGAGAGTAATTTTATCGACTTTTCAAGCGGAGTTAGGAATTGTTATAAATTGGATTATAATAAGTATTAAAGTGTGTATTTATGGATTTGCATGTTTGTTGACTAGTTTTGGAGCGTTGGGCATCGGTTTGAGTTATTGGAAGGGCTTGAGAGCTGGTGATGGAATTTCGGAGCGAGGTAAGTCTCCTTTCTAACCTTGTAAGAGGGAATTAACCCCATAGGTGAACTAAATTATTGTGTGCTTCTATTTGTGGGGATTACATACGCACGAGGTGACGAGAGTCTGTACG